GGGGCAGTGGGGAGGCAGGGGCAGGGGGAGGCAGGGGCAGAGGGAGGCAGGGGCAGCGGGGGAGGGGCAGGGGCAGCGGGGAGGCAGGGGCGGGGGGGGGCAGGGGCAGAGGGAGGCAGGGGCAGGGGGAGGCAGGGGCAGGGGGAGGCAGGGGCAGGGGGAGGCAGGGGCAGGGGGAGGCAGGGGCAGAGGGAGGCAGGGGCAGAGGGAGGCAGGGGCAGCGGGGAGGCAGGGGCAGAGGGAGGCAGGGGCAGAGGGAGGCAGGGGCAGCGGGGGAGGGGCAGGGGCAGCGGGGAGGCAGGGGCAGGGGGAGGCAGGGGCAGAGGGAGGCAGGGGCAGCGGGGAGGCAGGGGCAGAGGGAGGCAGGGGCAGCGGGGAGGCAGGGGCAGAGGGAGGCAGGGGCAGCGGGAGGCAGGGGCAGCGGGAAGCAGGCAGTGCCAACAGCAGGAGAGCAAGGACAGAAAGCTGCAGCTGTGATGAGACTAAATGAAAGAAATGAGAAGAGAAAAAAGAGGGAATACTCACAGCATAACCTAAGTGGGAGAGGATTTGATGCCACAGAGCAGAGATCCATCATTGTCCTGACACTGACACCTCAGAGGCAAGCACAGACAGTAATGCAACTTCATTTATGACTACAGAGATTTAAAAAACCCTAAAACTAGTAAACACAAAAGACTACTTCATTCAAACGGAACTGAAATCGAACTCGGCTTACTTCAGCAATGCAAACACAGTACAAGTTCCAGAATGTTCCAAGCTTTAATCCAGTGTGTAAACATATTTATGAATGATTCCTGTAGTCCCTGAGCAGCACATGGTGGTATTTAGACAGCACCTGCTCTCTATGTAAACCAGCAAATCTGTAAGAAGGTTTTATTAGTGTGGGGAGTGTGGGGAGAAAGCATATATATCACATTCAAGGAGGGGAACACTGGAATATTATCAGTATGGTCAGAGAGACAGAAGACACCTATATAATATTATGCCTGAATGTCTAACATTAAATTTTATATTAAAATAATGAAAAATTTAAAACTATGATTTGGGAAAAAGAAGATAAAGGATCCTTGCCTAATGTATACTTGAAGAACTAATAAAATCAACTTAAAATAATTTAAAATCACTAAGTATGAAAAAGAAAATCAAAACATACACTTTATAAAAACTCTAATTTGTAATCATAATTCAAAATATTTGCAAAACTCCAAAAACAAAACTATTTTAGTATATTCCTAGTGAAAGAATTAACTCAATGATGACCAAATATGAACACACCCCACATATTAGGATGTTCTGAGCAGTTCCCTATGTCTGAAGTGTGACACAGGCCTGTGACCTCAATGTCACTGTGAGACAAAGAAAGGAAACTGTGGGGAACAGATTCAGTGCATATCATACCACAAGAATAAGAATCATTCTTTCGTTCCCATTTATCTGAATTTGACACATGTAAAAATAGTTAGGACAATAACAACCAATAAATGAGCTCTCAGATGCACAAAATTACACACCCTCATCTGCCTGGCAGCCACCATGTTCTACATGGCACCAAGGATTCCACCTTCACAGCATTTGATGTAATCTGTCCATAAGCGGGGCGAGGTAGTACTCCCGCTTTCATAGGCCAAGGGACAAATAATCGTTATTGTAATAGTAGGTAGAGAACTGCATCTCACCAAGAGAATATCCAGAAAGCAAGTGGACCTTTATAAACATGGTGGATCCTGTTCTTCACCCGGCTAATGAACTAGGGCAGTAGCGGCATCATGTTATCCACAGTTATGCATGATAACTAGAGACAGTGGAGACACCGTGATTGATGTTCCACTTTTCATGCTCCCAGTCTGAGGCGGGACCTTGAGTCTCATACGCACAGAAGAGAGATGAGCTGCACCTAGACCCTCCACCCCGTGAGAGACACAGGAGCCTCTTGCCGTTACATGCTGACTCACTGGTGTCTTCCTTTCCATTCAACAAACAATGAACCATGTTAAGCATGTTTTCAGGCAGGAGGGGTGCGTGTAAAAGAGGAGAGCAAATGTTACCCTCATCTCTGCTAATCTGCCCCCTTTCATTCAATGAGTGTGGTTTCCTTTTACATTATATCACTCCTGAAATTCCTACTTCTGAAAGCATTAAGAGACCATGTCCACTCATCGTAAGAAAGGAGTGATTATCTAGTAATCAAATTTACTTACTTTACTGTCAGTTTACAAGGCCGAAGCCTCCAAGAGGAACTGTTGTGTAGCTGTTAAATCCTGTGTGTAATTTTTCTCAGTAACTTCTGAGAAAAACAAAATTGACTGTGCCAAAGGATATTTTAAATAGTTTTACAAACATGCCCCCCAAATCCTGACATTAGTACCCAAATTTCCCTCAAATCTTTCAGCATGGTATCAGAGTCTCCTTAAACCTGTGTGCAGCTCATCACTGCTCAATCTGCAGCCCAGCCACACCCTCAGCAATGTCAGGGATAGGGACCAAACTGTCCCATCCTAACTTCATCAGACCCAGACTCTCAGGGTTTGTTTTATTGCTGCTGTTGTTGTTGCTTTTTCTTTCTGCAGTTGCTGACAGTCTAGTAAGGGACTTCCCTCATGACTCCTAAATTTCTATTTCTTGGGTCATGACTGTCTCTTCCAGAAAATCTGGATGCTAACTTCATATTTCTTTCTGAACGTTATCTGACTTCCTCCTTCTATCTCGTTCCAGTCTTTGTGTTACCAAAGACAGGAGAAATTTTAAATAATTTGGTCATGACTTTTACATCCCAGGCAGGACCATATTTGGACATTTGTTGCTTGACTGAATTATTGAATTCTGAGTGCATTCTGCTTAACCCATCCTACTGCTTTACAGGCAGAATCTACAGAAATTCACTCCCTGTATCAGGTGTCTGCTCTGTCACTCCTTTCCTTACTCTCTGACCTGTTTTCACTTCTTATACCTTAGATCCTGATTTGTCTCAGGTTTCCTCTGAGGAAACTTTTATTACTGAATTCCTAATAAGCCAAACTCCAAGACAAAACGAACTGGATAGGAAGTGGTACAGTAAAGTATTAAAGCTTATGGAGAATTCCATTTTGGCCAGAAAAAGGTTGAAGACCAATTTGCATAGAATGAATAATTCCTCAAAAAGTGAAACTGACAAGAATAGTTACAACTATTTTAAGAAACAAACATGAACACAGCTTGTAGGCTGGTTTGTGAATGGTGATTATAAACAGTGGCAGGACATGAGACAGGATTCATGAACTATGAAGGAATGGGCCTTCCATGTCATTAACAGTGATGGCTAACAAACTATTAGTCATACAGAAGAGATTTAAAGCACTCTGTATTTTAGCAAAAATGTTGTAATATTCAAGATGCTTGCAAGACCAATGTTATATTCTCTGAAACTTCACAGATATTAAATGATCTTTAAATAATGGATGCTATTCTAATTCTTCGCCATGTGATAGTGACTTGTGCTAAGTTCATATGTGCATTTCCCCACATCCTGACTGTTTATCAGCATAGAGTAAGCAGGTTGTCAGCTTACAACACCAAGAGAGAGCCTCTGGACAAAGCAGATGCCACTCACATGATGGCCTGTGTTTTGTTGTTGTTGTTTTGTCCTGCCTGTGAGCTCTAAGTTTATGGCATGCCCTGTCCCTGGAACAAATTCACATAGGGAACAGTGGCTTCTGAGGAGGAAATGGTGATAGGGTTAAGGTGGGGTACACTTGCCTTTAAAACAGTCTTTGTAGCCCAGCCACTGCCATCAGATTTGAGGAGTGGACAGGAGTCACAGCCTCTGTTTCCCAGTGGGGATGCTCTTCCCATTATGCTCAGGGCACTCAGGCTGTTCACAAGAGAGATAGGTCCACAGGTACTTTGACCACAAGCACAGAACTTTGGAGGTTGTCAAAGGCAATCCCAGTTGATTTTACTATACTGCTGAATTGTCACCTCTAACATTACCGTACACACAACCAAAACAAAATCCCCAAAATAATGGAGGCAGAAGTCATGTGTCAGAGTACCTGGGTCCAAAGACGACTATAAAGACACCTATCCCTTGGGGAATAAATTATGATCCAGAAGCAAAAGAATTAGCGCAGTGTCGAGAATATCATAGACATTCAACAAGATCGAGTTTCTTTCTCTTTCCAGTTCTTTTCTCAAAACAATTTCTGACTTGATGGAGGAAGGTCATTGGCTAATAAAGGCACTGCCCTGGCCCATTTTATTGGTTAGAGGATAGGTGGGAGGAGAAAACAGGACAGAACACTGGGAGGAAGAGGAAGTGAGCTCAGAGACTCCACAGCTCTCTCGGGAGCAGACGCCTCAGAGAGAGACGCCATGCTCCTGGCTCCTGGGCAGACGCACGCTATGAAGCTCCGACCCAGGATGGACTAGGCTAGAATCTTCCCGGTAAGACCGGTTCTCACAGATTATTAGAGATGGGTTGATCGGGATGTGAGAATTAGCCTGTAAGGGCTAGAGCTAAAGGGCCAAGCAGTGCTTAAAAGAATACAGTGTCTGTGTAATTATTTTGGGGCATAAGCTAGCCGAGCAGGCGGCCGGGGTTCTGGGAACGCAACCCCGCTGCCCCCACTACTTCACTGACTTGTCAAAAAGTAGTGGATAGATGTTAAACTGTACATAAAACTAAAATTACCAAATCCTTAATAAGCTAAATATAAATATGATTTTTCATTTCAAAACTAAGTGGTTTCATGTGACTCTTACTACTCACAACAATTAAACAAGGGTCATGCGTAGGCAGACACTGTCATGGTTATGGAAAGGTTGGGGGAGCTACTAAGGCAATGTGCAATACTGTTCTTAGCATCACGTGACTTTTCTGACACCAACAGATTCTGAACCAGAATATTAGCGACATAATGAAGATTACTTAAGTGAAACTGAAGATATTTTATTAATATTACATAGACCACAACCCTAGTATTATAAATGATAAGCATGTCAACATAACTAATTATACTTACTTGTTTCCACTGTGCAACCTTCCCTTTTGTATTAGATTCAGGCTTGAAAAGGAAGATATCCTCCAAGAATTTGTCTTCATGTCTTCCATCTACGCAGGTCCATTTTGTTTCAAGTACCTTAATAATTTTCTGCGGAGGCATTTTACGTGTAAAATATGGTCTGAATATAAGGGAGGAGAAAACAACTATTAATTTTTTCTTACTGAAAAAGTGAAACTACTTATGATCTAACTGTATCTTAGCACTCATGATGATGAGTCCAGTGAATCATTTGTCTTTACCTTATTGCTATTTATGAAGCAAGGCATGCCACCAACATTCATACGTTCATTATATGCTCAGTAAGCTGCAAAATGGCTGCACAACACACCTAAAAATTGTCCAGTCCTTTATCCCACTCTGTGCCTTACATGAGAGTGCAAGGGCTGGCAGGACTGGGTTGGCACTGGGAAGCAAGGGATGAGTGGCAGGTCTTGTCTCCACTCTAGGGAAGTGACTTTCACTGCAGCATGGGAGTTTCTGGGCATAAGTTTCTATCTGTCCTAATTGTGAATACAGAGGAAGTACACAGAGCAATGATATCCTTAGAACTTAAGGCAAAAAAGAATAGGGACATGTCTGCTAGCCACACTTATAAGCAAAAGTCGAGGTAAGTTGCACTTACTTTTTAATCCTATTATATTATTTAGTGGAATATCATCTCACAAACACTGTTTATAAACTAGCATCACACTTAAGGATACTGGATACTTTCTCCTCTAAGAGCAGAAGTAACGGCCGATGTATCCTCTCTCACCTAACCTTTTCAACACTGTGCTAGAATTCCCATTTGATCCTTTACAATCATCATAAGGAAAAGGTAGGCCAGCCCTGCCTTTGATTACAGAGTGAAGTGGTCAGTATTAGTGAAGAGGTGCCAGCAATGCCAGCAAAGAGTGGAAAGACACTGATGCACGTATACCTCCCAGCACAGCAACACAGGACTGGAGGGAAAGTGTGTTACTGTAAATGGAGGTGGAAGAGATTAGAGCAAGGGCAGCCAGCTTTATCTACTAACAATCTCCGAAAGCATACCAAGTGAACTAAGCCAATCTCATGCACACAAAACCCATCTTATGCGACAGAAAAAAGATCATCTGTTAAAATGATAAGCCAATTCGAAAATGGATCCTTAGCAATATCAGAAATAAAGCAATCCAAACAACGCGGCGTTCCTACATAATTAACCACCTCTATTTATTCCTCCATCCTCAATCTTCTTACCTACCAATGCACTAGTATATGGTGTAGTAAGACAATAAAACCTTTCCCGTTCACAGTTGCAGTGCACCTCTCTGGAGCAGCAGCTCAGCTTCCCAAAGCTGTTCCTTTTGCTCCCCTTGCATACAGCACACGGGGAAAGGAGTGCATGAAAGCAAACAGAGCGCAGTAATCACGTGAGCAGGCTAGGCAGATGGATGCACTCTTCCCTTAGGCTTCACTTCCAAGGGCAACCAGTGATGCAGCCAGATGAACATGTTTATCCACAAGAGAAATTCTGAAGTTATCTCTCATGATCATTCAGTTGTCAAACGTAAATGAAAGCATGGATTTTCATGGGAAAGGAACTGTTCTGCATATGCCCCAATAAATTATGCATAAACAAACCATTAACTATATTACCATGGCTCAGCACTTGAGAAATGGAGGAAAGCGTTTTGTCCAGAGCAAGTGTCAGGCCAATGGACCAGGCAGACGACTGGTGCAGCAATGCCACACTTGGGCTGATCCAAGACATAAAGCAAGCCACTGAGTTTGAAAATAATCCTAGAGCTCTGAGAAGAAGTCACGCTGGGTTGGTGACTTCTGGAACAGAAATACAAAGTACTGTGAGAGAGACCCCACAACTAGTAAAAGCTGAAAGGAAAAGAGCTCCAAGAATTCTCAAAAAGTTCAGGGCAAAAGCACAAGCATTTACTCAAGAAATTCCAAGTGTCCAGTGGAAGGATAGGTGTCACCCAGGCCACTACCTGCATACTCTACCCAGCCCAGATCCACGGGAAATAAGTGCAGCCGCCAACAATGCGATCCTTTACTGGACAGTCTCCTTACACTCACTAACAATAGTGTTTCTTCTGCTTCCTTGTTTTAAACATGGTTTCTACATATGAAAGGAAACATTTCTTTCTGGTTCATTCTTATTTCTCTCAAATGATGATTTCAAATTCTACCATTTCTTGGAAATTACATAATGTTATTTCTCTTTGTGACCTAATACAACTTCATTGTGAATATATTCTGTTTTCTTCATCCAATCTGTTGGTAGATTCCTCACTAATGCATTATTTTGGCTATTTTGACTAGGGACATGATAAATATGGATGGGCAGGTATCTATGCACATCACTGGGACGAGGACTTGGGGTCGTGTGAGTCTAAGAAAGTCTCTTACTCTTTCCATTGTGCCGACCATGTACACTTCACTAACTAACAGAATCTCGTGTCCGCCTGTGTGTGGAAACTTTGGTCGCCATCTTTTGAAGACAGCAGCTACCTGTTTTGAGAGGAAAACTCAGTGCTGGTTTCATCGTATCCTCTGATGGGTGAAGAACTTGAAGGCATTTTCACGTGTTTTTAGTCACTTGTGCCCCTTTGAGAACTGCCTGGTCCATTCATCGACGTATTTACTCGCTGGGTTTTAGGGGGGTTGAGAGCAGGTTTGCGCTGTTTGTTTGTTTTAGTTATTTGTGTACTCTAGATACTAACCATCTGGGAGATACATAACTGGCAATTTTTTCTTTTTCTCATTCTGTAATCTCTCTCGTCATTGTGTTTACCATTTCCTCTATTTGGAGTATTTTATTGTTGGTGGAGGTTTTTGATTTGTTTTGTTTTTGAATCTCATGAAATCCTATATGGAAATGTTTGCTTTATTTCTGGGGTCACCGGAGGCCTATTTAGAAAGTCCCTGCCTGCCTCTGCCTCTCAAAGTGTTATTTCCTGTCAAACCATATATTGATCCATATTACACAACAAAAGCAACTCATCCTTGAATATACCATGGTCTTCCTCTGTTAGTAACGCTTGGTGGTTTTGTTTTGAGACTCAGTTCCTATCTTTCCTAAAGTGGTAGTTTGGAAAAAAAAAATGGCCCCCAAAGGAAGTGGCAGTTTTAGGAGGTCTGGCTTTGTTGGAGTAGGTGTGGCCTTTGTGGAGGAAGTGTGTCACTCTGGGGTTACGCTCTGAAGTTTATGACTGTCAATCAGCCTCCTGTTGCCTCCAAGCTGTGGACTCACTCTCAGCTATTCCTCCAGCACCTTACCTGTCTGCATGCCGCCATACTCCCTGCCATGATGAAAATGGACTCAGCCTCTGAAACTGCAAGTGAGCCACCCAATTAAACGTATCCTTCAAAAGGGTTGCTGTGGTAATGGTGTCTCTTCAAAGCAAAAGAAACCCTAACCAAGACACCTAACAACCCCTATGTAGCCGTGGCATGGGCTTCTCAGATCTCCTTGTGGAGCTCACTGAGAGATGCACAGCTGGCTGACATCCCAACTTTGTTTCCTTGGAACTTCCTTGTTCCGCAAGGCTTTTTCTAGCCATTGGCCAAGCACATGGAAGACAATGTTGACAGCCCATTTCTGTCTGATGCAGGATACCTGCATTGTACAACCTTGTGCAAGGATTCTCAGATAACCTGGTCAAACATTCTTCAGTTAGATTGCTGCCTGAGACTCTTCCTATCCTATCCTGTTTTCTCTGTCCTTTTACAGGTAGGTATCAGGTTCATAAACTTACTGCCACTTTGTGTGTGAAATGCATTTCTCTAGTACTTGTTTGAAAAGCTTATCTCATGTGTCTACCCTTAAAAGAAAAACCATAAAATGAGTGCATTGTAAGTGTTCATTTTCACTTCTTTTTTTTCTGATTCCTAACTACTTACATATCCTAACTACCATTAACTTTTGGATTATGGCTGTTAGTTTGCAAACTCATATTGTGACATCAAAAATAATTTTGATTTTATCCCAGGCTTTTTCTACTGAGAACTCAAGAACAATGGCAATGGGTTTTTGATCCTACTGCACGTACTGGCTTTGGGGGAGCCTAGGCAGTTTGGATGCTCACCTTACTAGACCTGGATGGAGGTGGGTGGTCCTTGGACTTCCCACAGGGCAGGGAACCCTGATTGCTCTTTGGGCTGACGAGAGAGGGGGACTTGGTGGGGGAGGGGGAGGGAAATGGGAGGCGGTGGTGGGGAAGAGAAAGAAATCTTTAATAAATAAATAAATTTAAAAAAAATAAATATGATTATATTTCCACATTTCTATTTCTTCAGGAACTTTTATTCTTCTCACTGAGGTTCACTAATTTAGAAGACCATGCTAAAGAACAGGGGTCATGGTTGTGACCCCGATGCATTGAGGCTCTCAGGGAAATGAGTTCATTATTTCACTTCTAAGTGATAATAAATCCATTAGATGTCTAATATGTAAATGGAGTCATTATTTCTGTTATTGGATATACTTTGTGTTGTTTTGTTTTGTATTGGTTTTTGGTTTGGGGTGGGGGTTTTATTTTTGTTTTTGAGAGATGTAATACAGGTTGCCTTCAAACTACTGTGTATTCAGGGATGGCCCTGAACTCCCAATTGTCCATTCCCCACCACTCACGTGTCTGGACTACAAGCAAGCACCACTATCTTTGGCTTTTATGTGGTGCTGATGATCAAACCTAGGGCTTTGGGCATATCATACAAACAGTCTACCAACTGAACTGCACCCAGAACAATAAGTCAACTTTTATTTCTAGTTTACTTAATTTTATTTTAATCTCAAAGGGGTGCTAAATTAGATAAGATGATTTTCCTGAGACACTGAAATGGTTTTCCTGTACTTGCTAGTACATTAGTAAGATCTGTATATCAAGCTGGGCTGGAGGTCTTAGCAAAATCTCAAAGGAATATTCATTTCTGAACTCACTGAGACCTCCAACAGGCAGGATGCAGACATTTGTCTAGGACTGACTTCTCTGCATTCTGGCTGACTTCTGTCAGGAGTCTCATTCCCAGCTAATGATGACCACTCTCTGGTCCTTTGCAGGTACTCTTCCTTCCTCATGATTGACAGCCACCAGAGGATCAAATTGTTCTGGTGCTTCTGATTCCCTCATGTGCCTT